CTAAGGAATCTCAGGAAGTCCTACTGAGATATTTTTCAGGTCACACATGGCTGGTGGTAGATACATAAAAAACAGAGTTTAACCCAATTAAGTTGAATTGGGGAATGATGTTCAACACACCAGAATTTATGACCTGTTTTGACCAAATTTGGCACTGAGAAATGTGGGCAGGGTTTTCTGTGAAAGGTACCCCTGGGTTCTTTAAGATTCACAGTTGAGGCAAGCAGGACCTCCACCAAACATCTGTCCTGTTGCCAAACTAGTCCGACCAGTCAGAAGAGTGTCACCTACTGTCCGCTACCCAGATTAGCAAGAGTGTCACCTACTGTCCGCTACCCAGATTAGCGCCCTATCCAGTCTTTGGAGTAGTTCCACTATCTATGATTTAATCTGCCTTGTGTTTTTCTTCCAGCTCCCACAGAGTCTCCTCTGAGGCCCAGTCTAGGTAAGCACTGTTACTCCAAACCTCTCGTCGTTCAATGTGTATTATCTGCGAATACTAAATATAAGAGTTCTTGCAATGGTGAGGCAAAGGCATAATTGATTTAGCATAAAATCTAAATACCCAGAGACTGATAGACTGTAATACATGCTGAGGATCTTGGATTCTAAAACGTTGGCTGCATTTCATGACAGATATGAAATCAATACTTACCATTTCTTAGACCCAATTAATTTGAGATGATTGCCTTCAAGGGCAGCATTATTAAACACAGCTTATCCTTGTCACTAGTGCTTTGTCAGCTAGGAAAGGTCACTCCATCCTGCATGCTCTGATAAGACAGGAGGTTGCAGAACGTCCTTCCACTGGGATTGGAGGTCTAGAAAGATGTGTGACACAGTTAACAGTAGGATGCAAAGTATTAAACTGCACTGTGAGCAACCGACCCAGGCAGACCATCGCAGCTGAAATCTTGAAGTACTTCAGTTTAGTCAAATCAAAATCACACAAATATACTGTGCGTGTTTATTTGAAACTTAATCGTGAATTTCAAGTCAAACATATTTATTGTTTTGGTGCGAATGTGATAGAAACATGTATTCTGAGCTCATGTGACCTGTGTGTGTCACCATGAACCAAATGATTTCTCAGACCTCGCTAGGAACAGCACTCTCACCAGAGAGACCAGAGCAGGATACAGCTGAAATCCAGAGGTTTCGGTGAATTTAGGGAGGAAGCACTTCTTAGCGTTGTAGGAGTATGGAACAAGCTACTCTTCCTTCTTTCAGGAAACCGTTGGATGAGTCCCTTGGATCAGTGAGTTACTAACTACCAAATGGGTTAAATGAGCTGAATGGCCTCCTCTCGATTGTAACCAGGTGTATGTTCTCTCTTCTGTAAAGCTGAAATCCATGGAAATCACGTCATCCTCCGTGACGATTTTGACTCCAACCAGCAGGGGGAGCTGGATCTTAGCATCTGGTAAGTGTAGAGGCCCTGCTGGAGAGGGAGGGGGATGCCCCACTGACCAGCGGACAGCACTCGCAACCTGGGAGACAGAGATTAGTCCTGAGAGAGGGGGTCCCACTGACCTGCGGACAGCACTCGCAACCTGGGAGACAGAGATCAGTCCTGAGAGAGGGGGTCCCACTGACCTGCGGACAGCACTCGCAACCTGGGAGACAGAGATTAGTCCTGAGAGAGGGGGTCCCACTGACCAGCGGACAGCATTCACGGCCTGAGTGTCTTGCCATCCATTGCTAATCAGACTTTCTCTGTGCTGGCATGTATTAATCTGTCCTCTCTCTCCATCTCAAGGCTGTGATTCAGTGCTCACTGTTCTGTACTGCAGGTCTGAGTGTAAGAGCTGCGAGGTGGGGGAGCAGTGTGGAGTCCTTATGCACGGCAGAGCACTGACGTTCTGCGAGCCCTTCGGGCAGAGAGAGCTAGTAACTATCGCTGCCTTCTTTTTCTCACCATGGTCATAACCAGCTGCCATTTATATTCAGTCATTTAGAGTAAATAAACATTCATACTTGTCTTGTCTGCTCTGTAAATGTGCATACTGTAGATGGATAGAGATGGATTTAAGGTGTCTTAGATCATCGTTTTTCGAAGACTTAGACCACAAGTGCATTTTGATCAGTTTAGTCATTTTATTGTCTCAATTAAGTCAGGGATGGTCACTTGTGGTCCCTGGGAGCAACAGTATGTTCAGATTTTAATTTCAAATGCTTTCTGAACAACATAATTGCAAACATGTTTCAGTTGTCAAAATCAAACTGCTCAGAATAGAAATTGAGGAGTTTTGTTGACTTAAACCATGATCTGGACTGTACCTCTACAGGACCAAGGTTGGTCACCCCTGGAATCTGGGAATGAATATAAATTAGCTCTTGGCCTTTCTACACTAAGGAGGGTCTAATCATCTAAAAAATTTCTAAGTCCATATTTTTAATGTACAGGTGTTATCTGCAAGAAGGGCCTAGCAGCTGTCTGTGGCTTTGGCAGGAGATAGTTAATATTCAGTACCACACTTCATAACAACTGCAAGCTCTAAAGACACCCCATAAACCTGAAAACTGTTCTTTGTGAAATACATGGACAGATATACAGACTAGAGAGACAGACTGGGCTTGTTATAGATTCATTGATAGAATCAGTCCTAGAATGGAATGCCTACGAATGGATTACTAACACAGATTGTGATCTGAGTGTGAACAGCTGAGAAGTACTGTATGTGTAAGTCTTGTAACTTACTGGATCAAAACCCTCAGTGTGTTAATTCTCATTTTAGACTTCTGTCCCCCTGAACACCAGCACAGCCACAGTCCTGCAGTTCGCTTTGGGTGAGTAACCAGTCCAATAACCTGCTTGATATGATGTGTATAATTTCTTTTCACTTTTTGCAAAAGTGATTTATATGATTTTATGGATCATACAGTAAGTGTGAATGAGCTGAAAATAGGGAAGCATATTCATTAAAGCAATATTCAGATCAATTAAGTAATAGGCACTCCTTTAGGGAAAAATCAGAAAATGTTGTGCCCCAAGGACTGTACACTTCTGTAGCTCTAATCTCTGTCTGAAGGGATGCAGACACACCACGGGAAAGGATATAATTCCTGATTGCTCATTTCAGTGGACAGTTCAGTGGACTACAGTTGTGAGTGGGACTTTAGAGATGTGATGAAGAAAATAAATTGACCTACACCTACTGTGCAGAAAAGAAAGTAACTTGCAAGAGTGTGGCTATTTGTCAACCTTGTTTAAACCTTCTCTCTCCTTCTTTCTGCCCCCCTCCCCTCTCTCTGCCCTGCTCCGTCCCTCCTTCCTCTTTGCCCTCTGCCCTGTCCTCGTCTGTCCGTCTCTCTCAGGCTCCGGCTCCTGTCGCTTCAGTTACTCCGACCCCAGCATCGTAGTGTCTTACAGCCTCAACAGCTCTGATGACTGGATACCCCTGGAGAGGATCAGGTCTGCACCCCCTCTCTTCCTCTCTCTGTCGGCCATTGTCCCCATCCTCTTCTTTCCCTCTCTCCCGCCACCACACGGCCCCCTCCCTCCATCTCCCCATCTGTGAGCCGCCTTTCATTCCTTCTCTTTCCCCTTCTGTTTCCTCACTTCTTCGTCTCCCACGTTCATCACGCGGTCCCTCTCTCGGTCTCTTTCTCTCTCTCTCACACACGGGCACAGTCACCCGCTCTTGCCTGGCTCGTCCCCACTCCCTCTCCCCCTCTCACTGCCTCTGTCCCTCAGGCTGGCCTGACCTGCCTGCTCTCTCTCACCTCCCGTCTCTCCTAGGGCTCCCTCAAACAGCAGCACAGTGGTCCACATCCTGGCCCTCCCGCCCCGGTCCCGGGGGGAGGGGGCGCGGGTGCGCTGGGCCCAGGAGCCCGTCTCGGGGCCGGAGGGCTACGAGTCATGCTGGAGCATCGACAATGTGCTGCTGGTCAACACAGCTCACCGGCCCCCCCTGCTGGAGGACAGCTTGGACCCCCCCGACACTGCTAACTGGCTCTTCTTCCCTGGAGCCACTGTCAAGGTACCTGGTTATGTCAAGGACTGGTTATGTCCTGGATCAAGTGGAATGAGGAGATGTTTTAGACCCTTAGACACAGTGATACCTTCTTGTAACCTGCTCTGGTCGCGTCTCAGGTTGATAAGCGGGATGATGGACCTCTCAGGCAGCATGAGGACTCTCTTCTTACTGAACCAGTGCCTGGTATCGTGACAGAGCGCTGTGCCGTCCTTCACATGAGACGCTTAACTCCTGATCCTGATCGCATGCTTTTTAAGGATCCCACGGCACCATTTAGAGTAGAAAATTTCCCCCTAAATTGGACTGGGGAGACAGTTCCTCATTTCTCCACCTGGGCTGCCCGGGCCAGGCTTCTCCGCAGAGGTGCAGGAAGTGACTCCTCTCCTGTATGTGAGCTCTAGCCACTGTAAGGTAGCTATGCTGTATTGTACCTCTGTTGTTGTGAAAAGGTGCTGCATGTGTCACGATTGCTTCCCGGTCTTCATGGAAAGAAATGAGAAATAATGGCAGTATATTTGTATTGCTGGCTCGTGGGCGAGACCACTGACCCTCTCCCCTTGCCCACCGCAGCATGCCTGCCAGTCGGAGGGCAATGCTCTGTACTTCCATGGAGCAGAAGGCACCGGGATCAGCTTCGCCTCAACCCGGGACATCGACCTGCACCGCCAGGAGGGACAGAGCTACTGGGAGGAGGAGTTTGAGAGCCTGCCCACGGGGTGAGTCCTGGTGTGGGCCGAGGAGGCGATCAGACGTGCGTTACAATACGTCAGTGCGGTTTGGTTTTTAGGCATGCCAAGCAGTCCTAGACCTTTGGCTCCATGTTTTCATATCTATCGCTGTTGGAAAAGCTCCTCCTTGTGTGTTGTTTCAGTTTGCGTCTCACAGGAGCAGCATGTTTTTTGTACTGTGTAAACAATGTAACAATCAAACCTATGTTTAGCCAGCAGCTATAGCACCCTGCAGCTCACGTCTGGCAGCCCCCTGCAGCTCCGCAGGTGTGAGAATGGGCAGAGCCTGGATGGGAGACTCCTGGGAAAGCTGAGGTTGCTGCTGGAAGAGGTGTTAGTGGGACCTGTAGGGGGCGCTCACCCTGCGGTCTGAGTGGGTCCTAATGCCCCAGTATTGTGATGGAAACACTGTACTGTAAAAAATATATTGTCCTTCAGATAAGATAAAAAACGGAGGTCCTGACTCTCCATGTTCATTAAACATCCTAGGGTGTTTTTCAGCAAACATAGGAGTGTTAACCATGGTATCCTGGCCAAATTTCCCCCTGGCCTTTACCAGTGGTGGCCTCCTAATAACCCCCATCCCTGAACTGGCTTCGTCACTCTGCTCTCCTCCCCACTGAGAGCTGGTGTGTGGGGAGCGTACTGGTGCACTATGGAATCCATCGCATCTTCCAGGTGTGGCTGCACATTGGTGCTGGAGGGGAGCCCCCATGGAATATACAGTAGCATTGTTTTTAAGGGTTAAACATTTAATGTATAACAGGATGAAAAGCGCTGTCAAGTGCTTTGAGTGGACCATGCTATAAAATACTATATAAATATAAGGAATTATTATTATTTTTATTATTGTCATCATCCATCTCTTACAGTGTGTGGACTGGAAGAGTGTGTGCCGTTGTCCATGGTGCTGAATGGCAGTTCACCAGATAGTGTACTGTACAGTATCTTGCTGCAGGCTTTCTGCAGTACTCACTGACCAGGATGCGATAATGAGAAACTCTGGGTGTCTCTTTTTATTGCATTTCGGTGGACCGTCTCGTCTGTTGGCCTTCTTGCTCTGCCCCTCGGCCCTACATTCAAAATTTATTTTTTTGTAAGTTTTTGTTAAAGGAAAAAAAAATCTGTATTACCTAAGAAACCACACTTTGAAAAAGTCTCGGTACTGTAGGTCCCATGTTAAGCTGGTTTGGTGAATATTTTTGGGGTGCTTTGCTGGGTCAATGTGTTGTTTTAAGCATAATCAGAAAAGTGATTGAGTCTTGGTATTAAGATAAATAATTGGCATCTGTGTTAGCTAGAGGAAAGGGATTTTTAACAACTATGGAGAGCCAGGACCTCAGTTTAACATCTCAGAAGGACGGCGCCTTTTTACAGTATAGTGTCCCCGTCATCCGTCACCCATCACCATATTAAGGCATTAAGACCCATCCAGACAGCAGGGTGCGCACCCCCTACTGGCCTCACTAACACCACTTCCAGCAGCAGCCTTAGCTTTCCCAGGAGTCTCCCATCCAGGTGCTGACAGGCTCTCACGTGCTGAGCTCCAGTGGGCTGCCAGTTGTGAGCTGCAGGGTGATATGGCTGCTGACTTGGATGATCAGAGTTCTTTGTGAGAGTGCAAAGGGGTGGGTTCTGATGACTAACCCAGCTCAGACCGACTGAAGTCTCCGTCACTCTGTATTACTGAAATCGTGCTGTGTTTGTGGCTGCGGGCTTTCTACACTAGCTGGTTGTAATTTAGAAGCTGGTAGAGAGATAATTCAGTGCCAAAGTCCTTGGATGAAAAAACTGGTTAAATAGAAGCACCAGAGTTCTGTCTCCCTTAATAAGAGAGTATACTTATTGAGATTGTGAGTTGGAGTTCCCTTCCACTAGACCACCCAGCAGTAAAAAATATCTTGACAATGTACTGTAGTACATGTATGTTCATTTTTTCTGGTTAATCTTTACCCAAAGAGCTGCGGGAGTGTGGAACAATCTACCCAGCAATGTTGTTGAAGCCGATTCCTTGGCTTTTTTCAACCAACAGCTGAATGAGATCTTTGGATCAGTTATGTAATAACTACCTAATGAGCTGGATTGGCCAAATGACCTCCAGGTGTTTGTAACATGTTTCATGTTCTATGTAAAGAATCCGGGGGAAGTTCATACTAACAAACAAAATTAATAGAAAGCCTGTCATTGGTATAAGAATCATTAGTGTGCACCAAATCCTTCTCATAACTTAAAAAAGATAGTCTGTATCGCTGTCAGTGGTTTAGATGCTTGTGGTTCAGTTTGGTGTGTCAGCACTTCTGCTGTGTGTATGTCACAGCTAAGCCATGCAGTGCTCCTGTCAGTGTTATTATAAGATTCAGCACATTATAAAGTCGTTGGCACTGTAGCTCAGTAAATGAAGGGTGAAGCCAGAGAGTTCAGACTGACATGTGAAAGGAATCGTAGGTGCTGTGTTGAGACCCCGTCTGCTGCTGTTAGGTTGATGATGAAAGACCTGATGTATTGGTTTGTGTAATGAAGAGACCATGGCAGCTGTTCGCTGTATCTTCAGAGATCTTTGAGCATTAATGAGCAAGACCTTCATTATACCTTCTGTGCGGGTTTGTGTCTGTCAGGATTCTCTCGGGGTGTGCTGTGTCTGTCCTGACAGAATGTTGATAAAAGATGCTTTGGGTCTTTATCTGAACGATACAGATAGTCATCTGGGGGGTGAGGAGGACTCGGTACAAGGAACACTGTACAATTCTTGTGAATGTTAATGAGAAGCTTGGCCTATGGTGCGTAAACACATGCAGTAGTATTTTCCCCTGCTCTTTTACAGACTGCTGGTGGATTGAATGTAGTTCATATGAAAAACATTCACGTATAACCCACACCATGATTTAAAACAGAAGTACAGAATCTGAGGCTTTTATCATCCTTGCAATGTAGATAAAAGGAACGTCTGCTCTGTATACAGTAGCTGGGATAGCTGTAGTGTGCTGCTGCAGGCACAGCGTATGCTCTGACGGGTGAGTGGCGTCTGTGTACAGAAAGCACGCAGGACATAGCCAATGATTTGAGTGTGTCCCTGTTGTCTCTCTGCGTGTCTGCCCCTGTCTGTGCAGCTGGGATATCCGGGGCGCTGTGCTGGGGACGCAGTGTGGGGATGTGGAGTCGGGCTCCGCGCTGGTGTTCCTGCGGGACGGAGAGAGAAAGGTGTGCACTCCCTACCTGGACACCACTGCTTACGGCAACCTGCGCTTCCACTACACCATGGGTCAGTGTCTCAGCCTGCCTGTGTGTCCCTGCGTCTCTGTCCCCGCAGGCTCTCCGGCCACGCCTGCTTGTTTCTTCCATCAAGTCTCCAACCAAGGTCCAGCCTCTGTTTCCACGACTTCAGGCCATCCGGCCATGGGTCTCCCCCTCCATTCCAGTTAATCCTGAATTGTTCAAGGGATCTTTAATGGCAAGGCCTACTGTGTAAATTACAGGTCAATCGAATAAGTAAAATGCAGTGATTCACTCAACTAGCCCTGTAAACTGGTGGTATCATCCCAGGGTACTATAAGGTGTGTGCAGTACCCATTATCTCAGTGCTGTATAGTGATACAGTGTGTGAAGCCCAGTCTCAGGGTACTGTAAGGTTGTACAATACCCATTATCTCAGTCCTTTATATTGTGTATGATGCCCATTCTCAAGGTATTGTAAGGTATGGAAATACTCATTATATCAGTGCAATATAGTGTGTGTGGTGCCCAGGGTGCTATATAGTGTATAATTCTTGGTGTGTTGTGTGTTGGCAGGTGGGGGGCTTTGTGACCCTGGCGAGTCCCATGAGAATGATGTCATCCTGTATGGCCGGGCTGAGGGAAGGAGAGA